ATATGGAGATCTATTTTGGGATTATTATTATTGTGATATATGAACTTCCTTTGGGAAGCTTGAATATTAGGTGGCAATATTTATGTTCCGGATCCCCACAATTGGAACCAGTTTTTTAACCAATTTGGAAAATCTCCTATTATTGGTATTTTTATTTGTATAAACCATGTATGGGAATTTATATTATTTTGAAAAGCAAAGACCTCATGCCATGCTTTAATGTATTCAAAATATTGCTAATGTTTAATATTGAAACCTTCATTTTACAATTTTCTAGGTTTCAAGGGGTCCGTGCCCCATTCTTTGTATAAAATTATTTTCCTTATTTGGAATTAGAATATGCTATCATCTTAGTATTCTTTTTATAAAAATGAACTAAAGTAATAGATCCCCTTTCAAGGATAATGGTTTCATACCATTGCCGGGTTTTGTCTCCATTATTCAGGTGTAGGTGGTTATTCAAATATGTAGCAGCTATTTCCCCTGGGTCCTCGGTTTTATGATTATCTTCTATTATAGTAATGGCTATGAAAGAGGTTTCTATGAACCTACCCTTTTTTCCTGGTGTATTTATAGCTATTGGTTCAGGAGAAAATATTATATCTTGGGCTTGTTTTTTGATTCTTTGTTTTGGGGTTATTGGTGATGATGATGTTGCCAAAGCTTTACTTGGCACATGAACTATTTCCATTTTCGCCTTTTTTGCTAAACTCCTCTTGTCCCCCTTGCAAAAACTCACGGGTTAAAAAATCAAGAAGGTAATTAGTAGTGCCTTTGATATGTTCAACCTCAAATTCACAGGAAGAGAGTATACATTGCCATCAAGCAAAAATCTGTTTGGAGACGAGATTTTTGACATCTTTATGGAGCTTGTCTTTTGCAGTTTTACAATCGGTGCGAATTAAGAATTTTTTGTTGATTAAATCACTTTGAAATTTTGTGACACAGTGGACATTGGCTAGAAGTTCCTTTTTAACAGTGGAATAATTTTGTTGGGTCGAATTCCAAGCTCGGGAAGTAAAACGAACCAATTGTTCAGTATTAAAATTTTTTTGTTTTAGTATTCCGCCCAACCCTTTTTCTGAAGCATCACATTTAATAATTTTGAAAGCAACAGGGTCGGAGAGTGTAAGGCAGGGTAACTCTTTAGCCTTTATTTTTATTTTTCGTATTGCTGAGGTATGCACATCCGTCCATTCAGGAGGATTCTTTTTTAACCTTTGAAATAAAGGTTTAGCATCAATAACTAAGTCTTTGTAAAAATCCGCAATGTAATTGAGAAAATTAAGAAATCTTTGAAGCTCAGTTTTATCTTTTATTACATCTGGGAATTTATTGGCAAAATCAATGGCTCTATCAATGGGGATTATTCTTCCTTGGAAGATATTGTGTCCTAGAAATCTTATCTTTGTCTGACAAAGGCTAATCTTTTTGGCAAAAACTACAAAACCAGCCATTTTGATAGCTTTAACAAAAATATTTAAATGTTTAAAATATTGTTCTAGATTTTCAGAGAATACTAGGACATCATCAATATCAACAATCATAAATTTAGTATAAGGCTTAAAGATATCATTCATAATATTCTGGAACTCTGAAAGGGCATTCTTTAGTCCAAAAGGTATAACATTCCATTCATATTGCCCAAAAGGAACATTAAAAGCAATTTTGTATCGATTTTTTTCAGCAATTTGGATCTACCAATAGCCAGACTTTAGATCAAATTTAGAAAAAATACAGGCATTAACAAGTCTATCCAGCAGATCTCTTTTATTAGGAATAGTAGAATCAAGTCTTTGTAACGGTCCTATATACTTCAATTGTTTCCCCAATTTTTCCGTAACCTTAACAGATCCTAACCTCCTAAAGGTTCTTACTCTAAACATAAAAATCCAAGGGTTCGATATGGATTCAGGATCCCAAAATATTGCTCTAGTCTATAGAATATGCTATAAAGTGATGAACACTTTATGTCCAACCGCACTTCAAATGGATACTAAAGGACGTACATTGTTCTTCTAGACTAATATGGAAAAGTCTAATACTGTTATACCAAGGTCTATGGCCTGGTTGCAAATAAGACTATTTGAAAAATGGTCTCTACACTGTGAAAACCAACAGTCTAGAACCCCTATGAATAGAGAATCGGAACAGATAATAGAATACCCAGATGGAGTTTTAGAAATACAATTTAATCCAAGCAGACAAACGCGAATAAATATTTCTAAAGGACCTTCTAGAATTCCTTTTAGATGCTCTACTTCCTCTGTTCCACAATCCGACCACGAGCAAAATCATAGGAGGCCCATTGTGGATGGGCTGACCAGAACAAATAGCCAAGTCCAACAACCGGTTTATATAATATATGAACCTAGTTCCCCAGATAGAGAACCGACACCTTCTGACTTAAATTTTAATATCCTTACCCTCCAAAAAGAAGAAAGGTTTAAAATAGATAAAAAATGGATAAAACGGGACTTCTTGTCCGATGAAAATAAGAGGATCCGAGATTGGTATTTGGCGGAATTCCCCAAGACTTATTGGATGCTCTACATAAAAAATTTAATAAATTTATATTAAAACAAAAAAGGAATATAAAATTCTTTGAATGGTTAAGATACATCCTGAAGGAGAAGGAGATCCAAGTTCCAGAATTTGATCTCAATACTATTGAGAATCAGTATCAAACCTTTTATATTATGCAAGGAGAAGGACTGGATTCCATTCATCGCCCTGAAAGAAGTCTTCTGATAAAAGGAAAATCAGAAGATAAACCTGAGGCCAAGGCTTCACTTTATAAAATTACCCCAAAAGACAATGATCACCATACCCATAAAATAGACGCAATTCCACATATAATTGAGCAAAATAATTATACTAACATCTGTCTACAAACCATTGGAAGGCAAACAATTAGGATTGAAAATATAATTAATAAACCCCAAGAAAAGATGGAAGATCATAAGTCTGAGGGAAAGAAAGCTTTACTGTTCAAACCCCCTCCATCTATCAATAAAGAACAGTTCAGCCTTCAAGGTATAAAAAGAAAGATAATAATAAAGAATTGGTAAATGAGCTAATTAAAAAATTAGTAAAGTTAAATATAAAAGAAAAGGGGACAACCTCTAGTACTGATCAAGGAGCTATGGTCCTTCAAGAAGAACCCTTTTCTAACAGTGAACTAAATAAAATAGAACAAGCTTTCAAGACTGAGAGCCTTGAAATAAATAGAATAGATTATGGAAAAAAGTTTAGGCCTAGTTCTCAAACGAGAATGTATTATCCTAAGCCTACTCCCGTGGATCTCCAGTTTGAAGAAAATCTAATTACAAGTTCTATATCTTATTCCGGAATATCTATTGTAAACTGGAATATTGTTGGAATGTCAGAAAATCAAATTCTTGAACTAATGAACCATATGACTATGTATGCGACAGCCTACAAGATAAGTGGAAACCAAGACCAAGAAATAGTGGATTTACGGGATGGCTAAGAGGATGGTGGGATTTCCATATGGATAAAAATACAAAAAATGAAATATTAACTGCTACCAAGCAGTGGGCAGTTAAAAATGAATTTGGCCAAGATATAATAAATAATGAAAGTGATGCAGTTAACACTTTAATATATACTATTACTCTCCACTTTGTGGGAAGTACCGCATTGCTCAATGCTAGATCAGAAGACTTACTTTCTAATTTAAGATACCCAACTCTATCCCATTATAAGTGGTACAAAGATGTATTCTTCTCTATACTCCTTTCTAGAGAAGATAGTAAATCTGACCACTGCAAGGAAAAGTTCATTTCTGGTTTACCTCATCTTTTTGTCGAAAAAGTCAAGACACGATTAAAGAATAAATATGGAGGAATAATCCCATACACTTTATATACATTAGGAGAATTGTCTGCCAAAATTTGTGCCGAAGGCCTTGCTCTCTGTACAGACTTGAAATTGAAGAGACAGCTCGAAAAACAGAGAATGACTAGAAGAAAAGAACTACGAGATTTTTGTGAACAGTTTGGATTTAATACTCTGCCTTCTTCCAAAAATTCTGATAAGAA